CTCAGAATCTTAGGGCTTATCCCTACTACCCTGTGGCCCCATCATCAGAATAGGTAGCAATTGTTCCTGGAGGGTGGAAACAGACAACTTTGCCCTCTATTAATCCTGTTCTCAGTATTGAAGTGGCTTTAGGGCATATTTTACTGCTTCGCCTCTGAAATATGCCTTTCCATGTTATGCTGTCCATTTTGGATAGCATGCCTCACTTTGTTGTACACTAACTCCAGCCCTTCATAACTCCAGGCTACTTCACAGAGACAGAAATGCTCCTTCAACTGAGTCCATGTCTACCAAATACTCCAATAACTAAAAATCTGGCTTTGCCATCAAGCCTGGGACCCTGATAGTATGGGTGAGCCTGTTTGTGGTTAGTTTATAGTGTTGAATGTTCTCAGCTGCTATTTTATGCTATTTCTGTTGTTTTTAATTTTGGTTTGTTTGTTTTTTACTGTGTCTTCATTGTTAGCTGCCCAGAGTCATGTATATGAGATGGGCAGCCATGTAAATAAATGCATTAAATACATAAATAATGCCTTTTATAGCTAATTATTAAGCATGAAGTAAAAGAGTGTCAACCTCACATCCCAAATAGACCAAATGACCTACCTGGGAATTGGGGCCGAATCCTCTCTCAAGTGATTGAAAAATGGTGAAATGGCGCATTTCTGACTTTTGTTTTAAGCATAAGTAGGAAAGGAAGGAAAAGAAAAATGGCGTCTATAGACCTGCACACACAAGTATAAAAGACCTGCCCACAGGAAGAAAGGTGATTGACCGTTGCTCTCCTGGAACAGAAAGATGGGAGGGCACAGAAGCAGGCGAATTGTCCAGTGGGAGGATGTTTAGCCTGCTGTTTGGATTGAACACTTTCCGGGCTGTTGCCAAGGTGTCTCAGTCTGGACAGGAGTTTCTGAAACCAGCATAGAGTCAAGGTGGTGTGAGGACAGGACAGGAGCAGCTTAAACGGTAAATGCTGATATTTCCTGATGGGGTCCTGTAAAGGATTAAAGTAATTTCAAAGCACATTGCACTCTTGATTGTTGCCTTTATTTATTAAATTTGTAAACTGTAGCTGCCCATCTCACAAGTGTGACTTTTTGCATCTCAAATCAATGCAAGCTCTGCAGCTTCAATAGTTCTAACAACAACAGAATACAGTAACGTTAGGGCAAAGAAAGTCTCCTCAAATAGGTTAGGAAAACATGATTGTATAGTTTCAAATATTACCAAATTCTTACATAGAGTGTAAACTGCCGACGGACCTTGATAGTCGGCAGCACAATTCAGCTTAATCAAATGATTGATTGACTGATTGATTGATTAGATTTGTATCCCATCTTTCTGTTTATGCAAACACTCCAGGTAGGTTACCACAACTAAAATAAACAAAAAGTGTAAGATGTCACTGCAAAATTCAGTACTGTTCAATTAAAGTCAAAATTGGAAAAAAAAATTAAAATTGCTACCATTAAAATATAATATCATTGTAATTTCTACAAAGCCAAATGACTTGTGGAGGAACATGGATTTTTATTGTTGATTGACCCCACAATCCTACCCCTTGGTTGGAAAGCTCTAATGCTGGAGAACTTCTCTCACACATGTGGGTCTCCCAGCTCATTCTCTCCAGTGCTGATAATGTCTGAAAGAAGGTTAGGCAGGAGTTGACCAACAAGCCTAGATAAAATGGATTGAAAGCCCTAGCTGATCTCTGACTTGACTCCTTCCCTCTGTGTAATCTGTACCATCCTTCTCTCTGAACAACTATTCCTTTTTTAAAAATGGTCAGGGAGAGGAGACACAGGACAAAACTGCTCTCTCATGCCCTCTTTGCTGGGCTGAGCCTCATAGAGCTTTAGATAGATTGCTATGTTATCAAAGCCCTCTGAGAAGGCAAGCAAGATTGCCTTGGTTGATGGGGAAAACACATGACCAAATCAAACATTTCCTAACTTTTTGGAAGGATGGCTTAGTGATACTTGTGTTCACTTTGATCTCTGGAAAAATGAATGGGTGAAGAAACCACTGAATGCAATAAAAAGTGTGATGCGTATAAATGGGAGGGAAGATTTGCAGAAAGCACAGCAGATGGAAAAATGGACGAGATTTTAGCAAATTTCAGATGAGAAGAAACCTGAATGGTTAAGGTGGCTAGGAATTCCCTGCTGTTCAAAACAAGACAATTGGTTTTGAGTAGCTACAGTACATCAAAGCAACATTCAAAAGTATTCTGCTTCCATAAAGAGGCCCAGGGGCTAAGTATGTTGACTGCACACCCATCCCTATTGAGCTAAATCTCTTAATTATGGGAAAACTTTAGCTTAAAAACTGAAACATTCTGCTAAGGTGTTGAGTCATGTGTCTTCTTTTTTGCTGGGCTTTTAAGCTTCCTTTTGTCTTTTTCTAAACATTTGATGGGCATAAACACATCTGAAACTCAAATTACTTAGGGCACTTGCAGAGGCCAACTACAGTCTTGTTCCATCAGCCTTTGGTTTTTCTTGTTTCTCCTTTAACAGTAGCCATTCCATCTGATTTCCAGACTAGTTTTACAAGAATGCTAGCTTTAAGAACTAGTGTCTATATTTCTTTCATTTTGCTTTTCTTTGGAAGTTCTGCAAAGACATAGACCCACACATAGATTATTAATCTGGAAGATATTTTGGCTGAAGAAGGAGGTATAGATGGTTTACATAACAGGAGAGAACAGTGAAAGACTTTTGGATTCACACAGAATGCATGCATGGATGACTCTTCAAAGGCAGCTTTCCCCATAATGTCACACTGGGGTATTTTCTTTCTCAAAGGCTGCCTTGCCCTCTTACCCCCCTTCTCAAAGCCTGTGGTTTCCTAAACCAGAACTCGAAATGAACAAGCAGGACTAGAGCTTTAACAAGACCCAGAATTGGAGAGAAGCAGGTTCATTCTTGTCTATTCCACCCCAGGGAAATGAACATCTGCTGGAGTGGTGCCCCCTCCCCTTGGGATACAAGGTTTGGCTGACTCTGAGAGGCTACCTTGCAAAGAAAGCAGCAGAAATAAAGGTGACAAGTACTCTGTAGGGCAATATTGTAATTTTTTGGCCCACCTTCCAATGCTTTCAGTGTAACCAGTGCTACTGAGCTAGTAAAATCAGTTGTGGTATACCAAAACTGTCTGCCAAAATGAGTGCTTTGTCTAAGAACATTTGCTGTTTCATTCTTTCTTCCACAGATTTCATAATTCCTCCAATGTTTGAATCATTTCCAGGATCATCTTGTGAGCATACCCTCTGTTTTTTCCTGGAATTATCAGTAGGCTGTAGACTTAGAATTCAATAGTCCATGCAATACACATTTTGCAAATATGGGAAAAACACAAGCAATTCAGTTTCAAGGTTTATTCTGATTTTGCTTTTAACAAATATTTTAGTATGAAGGCATTGTTTGTTAGAGTTTTTAGTTATGCATGGCACAGACCAAAGGGGGGGGAAAAAAACAGATTCATCAGCAAGTCCAGCATTTAAATGGCAGATTAACAAAAGAGGCTTGGGTTAACCCTACGTAGAAGTCTGTATTATTTCTTAGAAGATATTTTGCAAGCAAGATACTACAGTTATTTGCATTGAAGTAAAAACTTATTTTTGATCAAGAAAATTACATTTTCCTGACTTTCTTTATATCACAAATGTCACAAAAATCCTATTTCCCAAGAAAATATATCCAACATATTTGGCTAATTTTGTCATTTTAAAAGCAAAGCAGACATGCACTGCATATAGAGACAACGTATTTTGTCCAAATCAAGTGGGTAATCTGAACGCTGTTAAATCATAAAAGGGGTTCATTGTTTGGGAGAAGATTTACAATTAGGTGTAGTGAACAATATATTGCCTAATATTTATTGAAAGTAAGGTATCAGTCACCTGCTCTATATGCTTTCATGAAAAAGAGATGAGTCTGGTACCAGAGGAATTGCTACAATGCAATGTCATTCCTCAGTGTAGAAGGAGTAGGTTAAATGGGTATCTCGAAAGAGCTGCGGAATGCAGAGCCCCCTCTTTGGGGGCAGTCCACTGATCTCAATGCTCAAAGCATTGTGAAGGTGGTTATGGAGGACAGGGGGAAGAGTTCGTATCCTTTAACTGTTCGTAAATGTATGGTGCTAATGTAAAAATCCACACAATTCAGAATTTGCTGACCAGTCCTAAGTCCTAACAAAATTGATTCCAATTGCTATTAGAGTGTGCCTGGGTAGGACTAGCCAAAAGAAAGAAAGTGAATCGTATTATTATCTACACGGTTGACTGTGTGCATGCATCTTTCTCCAAACACATACAAGCCGAGACTTCCAAATGAGAAAAATCATAATTTGTACAGTCGAGTTTGAAACTGGACTGTAGAGATGTCATCAGATCTTTTCACCTTCACAGTCCAAAGGTCCTCTCTTTGCTTCATACTTGGTGATAGCATCCTGAGGTAAAGCATTCAGACCTGAGAGAAGCACCACTATGAATGAGAACCAAAATGAAGATGTTGGGAACAGCGAAGTGAAGAGGTCAGACAAGATGGCTACAATCTAATACAGGGAAAATGCTCTGATCAGAATATTTTGGTCACTCATTGTTTCAGACATCATTCAGATTTAGTAGAGGTTTTGGTCGCTGTCTGTGGCTGCTTATTTTTCTAACTCCCTTCTTGTCTTATTAATGCCCTCCTTTCTTCTCCTTTCTAAAATGTAATTACCACAATGTTTAAGGAGATTGGGGAGTGAAAGGGGGCTCAAATACATAAGATAGGTGAGCAGAGAAAAAACAAAACATGAATTAGACCTCTGTAATGTTGACAGTGTTATTAAAAATGGGAAAATATTATTATTATTATGGTTGGTTGCACAGTCAGCCAGATGTTTAGACTGGATTTGGCATTTTTATC